CCGCCGAGCTCACCTGCTTCGCCAGGGATGGTAACATTTACTGCAAAGAGGATTATTACAGGTTAGTTGATGCATGAGTAATGGTTTAAAGGAAAATCATCTTTTTAAGGAAAGAGAGGAAACAATAATTAAGAGAAAGTCTAGTCTGTAAATATAAATAAATAAATAGATATATATATGTATTCAAATACACAGTTGGAAGATTTGCATTAAATTGACACATTTTAGATGTCCCGGTTCATAGAAATTTTTATGTTAATTTAATACAAGATGAATATGTAGAAAGTAGTACATTATAAGAAATTAACATAAGAAATACTTTGACATTATTTGAAAACAAATTGTGAAAACATATTTTTCCAATAAAATTGACGTTTATAATGTATTGAATTAAAATGTGCATTGATTTTTTATATTTATTTATCTTAAAATTTATTTTTTGATATTATATTTACGTTATTTGTTCACTATTTATAAATTGTGTTATTTTAACACTAAGAAATATTAAATATTGATCAAAAATAATATTCAAACAATATAATCACATTATGTTAAATTAACACTCGAGTATGTTGAAAAATAAATATGAAGATTTTCGCAGGGGCCAGATTTAATAAAAGTACAAAATGTTTTTAAAATATAAAGCTTATACTTTCTTATTTCATATATTTTCCGAAAAACTTAATCATTTCCTTTTTAAAAAAATTTATGTGTTTCCGAAACTCATAGCTGCGTGTCTTTCGTTCACATTTGTTGCGGTTTCATTGAATGAAACGAATCTGGTTTCACGTCAGAGAGAGAGAACGTTCTACCACGAATTACATAAATGACGCGTATGAAACCGATCCATTAATGTGCACACTTGTTTTGATATTTATTTAGATAGCGTTGAATTTACATACAAGAAACACCCTTCGATCTCCCTTGCTCTCTTTTACCAAAACGCCTTCTTCTTTGGACCACACAAAATGTCCACTAATAGTCGTTTCCAAATACACAGCTCTAGTCGTTATTCAGGAATTGGACCTTGAATTCCGTGCTCGGCGCGGCGATATACTCGCCAATAAAGAATGTGAAGAATCATAAGAAGAACGAGAAGAAAACCAATTTCGAAAAATGAAAGAGATGCTGAAAAGAGTATCGCTTATTAAGTTATTATTAGAAAAATTTAGTACATCGAAATCTTTAAGATATTTGACACTTCTAATAAAAGACTTAATATTCGTAGCGTCGAAATCTCAGAGAGGCTAAAGATTGGAACGCGATTTGTATTGCATAATAATGTAGTAAGCAAAGAAATATCGTTTATCACGGGAAATAGTGCATTTACGCGATGACGTTCGACGTTTCAGGATGCGAGGGTGGAATGAAAGGCCGAGAGGCGAGTTCGTTAGAGCGAGCAGGGGAGGAATTCAACAGCCGTCCTCCTACATGCAATATGCAACAACGCGAGCCCTTTGTTTCCATCCATGCGAATGTGAATGGTCTGGTTCGATCCCTTGCAAAATTCACCTCAAGCGGGAATTCGCAATACATTCGCGAACACACACGTGTAGAAACCATATAGTGTACCGTTAGATTCTCAAGCATATCCAGTTTTCTCTAACTTTCAGGCAAAATTAATAAAATTAGAAGTGCATGTAACTCGTTAAAAAATACAAGTTAAATAAGCGCTTCGAAATTTTTGTAACGTTTCAGTCAAATTGTCATTTAATTAGTACCAACGGAAAGGATGAAATAAATAATTTAACCAATTTAAAAGCGTGTGAGTGAAAATTCCGAAATCTGTAAGTTCAGTCAAATTGTGGATGTTTTTAAATACTAAAATGTTTTAATTTATTATTAAATAATTTGTATATAATAAGTATTTCCGACTATTTATAACCGATTTTAAAATATATTTTGAAACATATAAATATAGGAACATCTTTTATATGTGCTTATTTTAAAGTTTAAAGGGATGGAACAACAAATAAATTTTCAAAACCAATGTTTATATTATATATTAAGTAATTATCATCAACGATGTAATTTGAAAACTAATTTCGATGGTTAATTTTTTTTCTTTGGACTTTAATTTTTATAGGAACAGAATTTCACAAAAATAATAATGGGAATATAACAGTATTTTGAAAAATATTAGAGTATTGAATCTTTAAATGCAATTATAAACCACATAAAAAAGCTGTCTAAAAGATATTTTTTTATATCTTATCTTTTGACAATAATTGCTTAGAATGAGATATAAACATTAGCTTTGACTATTTCAGCTCTTAAATAAAAAGAATGGATATATATAAAAATATATGTGTCTCTTAGATTTTTGTGATTAACAAATTTCTCGAGGAGAATTAAATATCGTTCCAGTTTCTTGTAAGATAATCTTCTAATAACTAGAGAAATATTAAAGTTTGACACCTCGCGAATGCGGAATTTGAAAATTCATACACCGAAAGATAATAAAGCTCTTGAATTATTGCGATTGCAGATTATTTGCGGTATCTCGATGCTCCCGATGTCGCGCTGGCATTTCCGCCTCGGAATTGGTGATGCGAGCGCGCGACCTGGTGTATCACGTGGCGTGTTTCACTTGCGCCTCGTGCGGCACCCCGCTGAACAAAGGCGATCATTTCGGCCAGCGGGACGGACTGGTGTATTGTAGGTGAGAAACAGGAGTGTCTGATCATTACTATCCTTCAAAGGCCGTCTCTCCTTGTTATCAACGAGTTCGATGACGAGGTTGACAGGAGCACGAGTCGCTTTGTCGCATCGAGTCATTCTCCCCTTTACCATCCCTCCGCGCTAATGACGGTTGTTGAGTGCTAATGATGGTCATTGGAATGGACGGATTTGGTCTCGGGTTCCGGGAAGACGACCGCGACGACAGACACCGCGAGGCGTGAGAATGAGAATTTATAAATATCAAGATTTAAGAGAAAGATTCCATGATTTCTTCCGTTTCTAAACGTTTACGGAACGAAATATAATGTATCTTAAAATTGTCTACTTTCTAAATATTCTAAATCTTTTGGAGTGAAATTTCAGCCAGTCCAGAAAAAGAGAGAACTTTCCACTCTTAAATAAGAGTGGCAGATTTTTACTCTTTTGGAGTAAGATTTACTCCAAAGAAATGAAATCTTCTTTTTTTGGAACGAAACTTCATTCTTTAGAATAATTTTCACTCCAAAAGAGCGAAATCTCACTTCTGTAAAGAGTGAAAATCTGCCACTTTTTTTCAAGACTGGTTCAATCTTCAGTCTGTTAGAGTGAGATTTCACTCCAAAAGATTTAGAAGAGTACACTGTAAAATATTTTAACTATCAAAATTTCTCGCGACTCCAAAGACCGAGAGATTTGACCGCAGTAAGGAAACCAGATGCTTCGAATTCACCCAACAACTCGGCGATTTAATCCTCGACTTATTCCTCGACTAACGATGATCCCTGCCGCTCGTTAAACCCCACCCCCGCGTGGTATCACGGAGTCGAACTCGTTCATCGAACTCGAACGTATAACGCGGAGGTCAGGTCGTCTATCGACTACTTGACAGAGAGGTTGACGACTGACGAGCACGTCGCTCCCAAGACCACACTACGAGTTGCTGTGCTGCGCCGGCGATTACGGGGGTGCTGCCGGCAGTATCGAAGACCTCGGCTCGCCAGGGGTGTCGCCGCTTCCGGCTTACTACGAGCAAAGCCCGATCACTTCCGGCACGGTGCAGAAAGGCCGACCGCGGAAGCGGAAGCTGTCGGAAATCACCGGCTCCGAGCTTCCCGTCACGATGAGACTGGCCGCTGGAGCGCTCGGTGAGTCAAGCCAATGTATGTTCCGCAATCTTGTATCGATCGTGAACGATCTTCTTGTTATCGTCCCTCACGCCCCTTCTCTTCCCTAGAGTTACCCCTAGACTCTTCAGTTCGGTATTCATTTTTGGTACTTGTGACGCCAGACTCTCCCACTCTTTTCTTTTTTATTTCTCTCTCTCTCTCTCTCTCTCTCTCTCTCTCTTCTTATGCCTTCTCTTTATTCTACGCTACAGCAAACGAGTTAATCGGCGGAGTTGCATTATTTACCGAGCAACGGGTATAATGGGGCGTTCTTTCGTGCAAACATTTGCTCGAGCCTGCAAGAATCGCAGATGTTATTTCATTTCGTCCGCGCGATTATTCGGTTCGTTAACTGGAGCATTCGGCATTGGCGAGCGATAATCTTTGATTTGAAATCTCGCGCGCTACGCAGATGTCTAATTGCTCAAAGATTCAGAATGCGGATCCTCGATTACAAAGATTCTATCATGATTTCGAGGCATGCTTTTCGTCTGGTTAAACTTCATTTCTTCATTCTTTCGAATAGATAAAGAAAGATAGTGAAGTTACAGTGCAATGAAAATCATGTGAGAATTATAGTGTACTCTCCGCAAATATCAGCATTGTAGGTACTTTGAGTGTAGACACAATATAAATCGCACGACGTTAATTATCGCATTGTCGCCATTACGACCTTAATAAAACGCGGATTTGCGGTACTTCGATCGACAGAAGTTAAAAACATGGTGCTTCTTCGCTCGACTTGTGTCGATCATTTGCCGATTGGCGCGCATTCGTATCGCGTTTCGATATGATTTTACGATCATTTCGGCTCGGGCGCAAGCCAAGATGGCGACCAACCGGTGGTCGCGCGTAATTCCCAGTTATTTTATAATCGACGAGAGCGAGGATCACTCTCCCCGAACTACCGACCGGAATTTACGACCAACAGCCATAAAATCGTCCATGAAGTCCTGCGTGCGTGATCACGGGTGGGAACAGACGGCCTGGGAGAGAGAAACCCTCTCGCAGTGTTTTATTGTCTTTATATATAATTGGGACAGTTTTTGCGAAAAGGACACGCCGACGATGGGAGCCTTGGCGAGACGCCGAGCGACCGACGGTGAATCGCAGAGGAACTCTCGTAGTAATAGCACAGATGCAAGAAGACGACAATCCGATTATTGCTAAGCTGCGAAATATATCACATCTAATGTCTGACACATACCAGCTGATGTATTAGATTACGCTAAACGGAAAATTACAGTTATCAAAGCGATTCGATTTATACTTAGAAAGAAACATAGCAGTAGCATCTATAAAGTATAAATACAAGTTTCATGCGTAGAATGAATGTCCATAATTGAATTTGATTTTATAGTTACAATAATTATATACTGAGAGATTTATTCAACTATGTACATCAATATAAAACTTATATAAGTGTCTCAGGTCTCTTTACAGTTGCTGTTTTTTTCTTTGCGTATTAGGATTCAAGAATTCAAAATTTTCTATAGGAAAAAAAGTACATACTTTTGCTGTATATAATAGTTTGAGTATAATAATACCAGGTTTAATTTGACTTATAAGTGACATGAAAATAGCTACATTAAGGGCCAGTTGTCCCATCCTTTGGTAATTTACCTACTGGATAAACAAAAGCATAAGAGAGTAAGGCAGTGAACTGAAGTTTACCGAAAGGTAGAACAATCCAGCCTAAAAATGTTGAATATAAAATCTGATTTTATAACATTAAGGCTAAGTTGTTCCATCTTTTCCACCTTACTCTCTTACTCTCTTATAAGTATATTTACACTTTTACTAATTTGTTTACCCAATAGTTAAATTACCACATAGTTTCAAACAACCAGCTCTTAATGTAACTGTTCGACTTTTAAAAATCGACACATAAACGACATATTGCAATTATTATCATGTAAAGATGGTTTATAGCAAAAATATTGGCTTATTCTTGTCACACTTTTTATATTAGTCCATCTTGGAAAAGATACTGCCCTTTCTTACGAAGGAAGAACACACGCGAGCCCTGGGAAGCTTCTCTCTTCCAAGCGGTTTGGCGGGAATAGGGTGGGGGGATAGATTTGGCGGTTTTAAGAATGAGATTACAATTTGTCAGGACGAGTTAGAAGGCCAAAATTGCCGAGAGGCCGAGGACTGAGAATCGACGACAGAACGAAAGAAGGATTCCGATGCCGGCGGCGCGGCAAGAAACTTGCGCAGGCGGCATTATAGCGCTCTGGCCGGCCATTCTGCTGGCAGTGGCCACGCATTGGCCACGGCAGCATTCTTTTCCGGGCAGATCGGCCAATCGATGCATCTCCCGGTGCCGATACCTATCTGTCACTGTCCGCCGGTGCCTGGAGCCGTTCCTCTTTCTGCACAGACAGAAAGACCCCGCTGGAATCGAAAGGCACGCTGGGAAAGTCCTAATTTCGATTCGATTCGCGTGTAAAATCACGCCGGAACTGGTCCTTCCTTTTTTTTTGTTCAATTGCGTTTTTTGTAAATGCAAAATGAAATCTGTGTATATTTCGGTTTCTGATGGTACGGTAGAGCTTCTCTTTTTTTATAGATTCATTTTATGAGAAAAATAATTGTCCGCAAACGCGGAAGGAACTTCATACGGCATTTCATAAACGAAGAAGCGTATTAATTGATCAATTAGCGGTCATGCCACCCCGCACGAATTTAACTGAATTATGATGAACGAAAATAAAGAAGCGCGGAAAGGGAGAAAGAGAATCACCGGAAAGAGGACAGGCGTGCTGCAGTTATGTGCGCAGTTGCAGTTGTTGCGCGCCGGCAGAACGAAGGAACGCATCCAATAAATAAGACGACGAGGGTAACCATTGAATTCAATCGGGAGAAGAACGGGTTCCAGTCGACGAAGCGGCCACGCAGGACGAGAGAGGGGCGAAGGGGGATCCCAGAAGTAAATCCCCAAGCACGTATGCGCTATTACTGTTTATTGTTCCGAACTTCCATTCCCAACGGACGGCGATCTGCTGGTTCGCCAACGAGAGGAAGAGAAAGAACGAGAGCGAAAGAGTGAGATGAGAGGGGGAAAAAGGGAGAAAAACCGTTTTCGCGAATGTGGCTCCACGGCGCCTTCGGAATTCGTTTTCTCATCGAGACGAACGACACGTGGATTTCGCTTTTTTTTTTTTGGAGATAATTCGAGAAGCACAGTTACGTTCGCGAGATCGGAAGGGACAGTAGCGCGAAAAGGGGTCGACTTCACGGAGATAAAATCCTTCTGAAGTATATACCGTTCTGTGCGGATGGCTCATGAATTAAAGAACGCTGGAGAATGAAGTAGAAACCAAATATTAGGGAGCTGCCTTGATTTTTATACAGTATAATTCTTGGGCGAAAAAAGGGTATATCTTGCAAATTTAACTGACATGACGATCGATCGTTTCTTATTTGAGAAACCTGAAGTTTTAAAATTCGTCAGAATTTCGCGATTTCTTTCAACTGTATATTCAATATTTTGGGGTTCGAGAAATTAAAAATTTTTGATTCTGGAGCTTGCAATTTTTTATATGCATGAGTGAACCGATTCGATGATCTTTTTTTAAGTGCAATGCGTTATCCTGCGTCATTTTTCTCCTCTATCGCATGTCGCTCTCGTGTGATGTCGATAGTTGGACGCGAAACTGAAAAGGAAAAGAAAAGAGAAACTTTCTAGCGGACGTCGCCATTGCAGAACTGCTGCATCCCACGGAGCTGTCCTCGTCGATGGAGTCGCTGGCTGCGTACGACGCATCCGTGGGCTCCCCGGGACCGGTGCACCAGAATCAGCGAACGAAGCGTATGCGTACCAGTTTCAAGCACCACCAATTGCGAACCATGAAGAATTACTTCGCGATAAATCAGAATCCGGATGCCAAGGACCTCAAGCAACTCGCGCAGAAAACTGGCCTGTCGAAAAGGGTGCTGCAGGTACGAGCTCTTCCGTTTGTACGGAGTTTTTTTATTGACGATATCATTTCTCCATTGACGATTTTCCTTTGATCGCAAGAGCGTATAACTTACTTGAGAAAGTAACTTTTCGTTACTTTTCCGTTACTTTTTTTAAAATTGATGACCAAAGAGGCTTCTCTAGTCTCAAGCGCACTGTAAAAAATTGTGTAAAATTACAACTATTATGCTGGATAATTTAGAGATCCACTATAATAGTTGTAAACGTCCACACGTTTGTAAATTTGCAATATGCAAATAAAAATAATTTCTTGGTTTGGAACTAAACAGATTGTGAAAGTACAATTACAATGTGTATGTGTAGCTACAGGAACGATAATATGACAATAAATTTCGCACTATACATTTAACAACAATACGCGAAAAATTTCTTTTATATTACGTAATATTACTAAAATTTGGATAATTACAGAAAATATTCCAAATATCCTGCTATTTACATAATTTCCAATATAAAATAAGATATATTTACACAATAAAAACAAATTTACATAATTTTTGTGGAATTACATAATTTCTGTAAAATTGCATGATTTTTTTATACTTACAGAACTAATCATGTAATCTATTTTACATTTATTATATGTGTAAATTTTCGAAATTTTTTTACAGTGTAAGTGGCTTGTGTCGTATCGTGTCCAATCATGTGCAAAGTAACGATAAAAGTAACTGTAAAATTCGTTACCGTTACCAAAAAAATGTAACTTTGTTACCGTTACAGTTACCAAAGAAAAAAAAATAACGTAGTTACTAGTAAAGTTATCAAAAAAGTAACTTGTAACTGTAACTTCGTTACAAGTAACGAGTTACTTCCATTCCCTGTTTATAACCTACATCAACTCCTGCATTCTAAAAAATATGGGCGTGAATTTAACACCACCACGATGTTTATATCGCCATCAACACGACAAGAATATTTTCAAACTATTCGCCATTCTAAAATATGGCGTTAAATCTACATCTATGGTATTTTAACCTACGTCAACTCCTGCACTCTAAAAAATATGGGCGTGAATTTAACACCACCACGATGTTTATATCGCCATCAACACGATAAGAATATTTTCAAACTATTCGCCATTCTAAAATATGGCGTTAAATCTACATCTATGGTATTTTATGTCAAGACCAATACGGTGATAATTATATAATTATATAACACCACATAATATTCAATCCACACTCATATTTTTTATAGTGTATCTTTCTAAACATATTACTCAATTTTTTTTTTATTTCGAATTCTTGAAACAAGTATCACTACGATTATCGATCGATGTTGAAGAATCCGTTAAAGGGTTGAAATTATGCGGTCCCTTGATTTTGCGGCTGTTCAGGTATGGTTTCAAAACGCGCGCGCGAAATGGCGACGGAACCTGATGCGGCAGGACGGTAGCAACGCCGGTAGCAACGTCGGCTGTTCCGGAACGGCGGTGTCCTCCAGCACCGGCAATTCTCCGACCGTCGGACCGGCAGCCAGCATACTCGGCGACAGCAACAGCATGCCCTCGACCTCGATAGAGGAGTTACACGCCCTTCATCATCTGCATTCAGGCCCTCAGGTCTCCTTTTCTGATCTCTACTGACGGCTTGAAATGGAAGAGGATGCTTACAGTAGTCTCTCCAGCCATCTTGGATGAGGGATTATTGAACATTCTCGTGAATCGACCCCGAGGAGAAACTTGACAAGCCGATGACGTACGTCCATCGTGGGTTTTAACAAGAAATCTCGCTGATGAACGCTGACGTTGCTAACACATCGTGGCAGCGATTGTCTAAGTTTGGTTTACTTTCTAGAATGTGATCCTTGCCGTGCTAATTTTAAGAACAATTACTTAAATTTCACGGAAGCCGATGTAGTTTAATCTCGTGCAGGAAACAAACTTTGGTTAATTACGCGATATCGATCAAGATTAAATGCCTGGCCTTCTTCAAGATTTGGACAAAAATGTGTCGTCGGATTTAACGAAGGAAGTGACTCGTCGGAGGACTTTTCTGAAGGTAGCCTAATCAGGTAGAATTTAGCGGGTAACTTCGAGGATGATTATGGTTAAATAATCAGTGATAATAATCATAGTTCCATGCACACCCGAATTACCAAAGATTACTAGACGAGAATAGTAATAATGTAATCTAGGTACGTATGCAAAGAGGGTATCATTAGCGATTATATCGATAATTAACGACGGAGTTTCGGGCACTGTTCGACATATGGGGTGTTCCAGAAAGATGTATACCAGATATATGGCAGGCACGTGTTTAAAAACAAATTGGAAAAATTTCCTCCTTGATAAATTTTTGATACGAGTGAATGTTTAACTTTAATTTTCTATCTGTAACTTAAAAATGTTAAACGTTTTTGAAATTTGAAACAGTTGAAAGTTTTAAATATTTCTGAAAGTCTTTTTACATCTTCGATGTAACGGAAGACGTAGGTCGTATAGAACATAAACTGCGCCATTCGTATCTAAATAATATATTAAATGTGGTCAACAAAAATAAGAGAGAGAGAGAGAGAGAGAAAGAGTGAAGACACCAATCTTCTCTTTAAATTTTAAACAAACATATTGGCTAACTTCGCGTTCTGTTTCTCTCATTTTTATCGATCAATTTTATGGATCGCGTAGTCTATCCAACATATCCTATGTTTTTAAATGTAACATCTGGTAAGCATTCCTAAAAATTTTGAAAATTTAGGTATATAAACATAAATTTTGAAATAATAAAGGTGTGAAAACATCTAAAAAAATATCAAAAAATTTTAATATTAAATTAGATTATATTAGACATTTTTAAGTTAGTTACATTTGAATATGTCTAACGATTTGTCAATGTTTCTGAATGATATTTGGAAACCTCCATAAGTTTCGAGGAAATCGTACGAATTTTTTAGACTTTATCTAAATTGTGTATTTTATGAAATATATCAATATTATTTCTAGTTAGAACTTTGTATGCAACTGTTTAGAACACCCTGTACGATGTCACAAGGGCTGCTAAATTAAATGAAAATTCGCCCATGCGGATGGACACGTACATTACATGTGCAATCATGTAGGAAAATTATTTCATTTATCCTCTCATTGATTTTATACGAGACTTTGCGCGCGACTATCTTTTATCAGCTTCGCACTGTTATCAATTGGCCAAAGTTAATTAGTTATACTACGTACCCATTAATTAAACTTATAATCAGACGATGATAATGGTTGCTATTATTAATATGTTAGCGCTATAATATTTTGTAATTTTAAATATCCAGTAACGAAGAAAATAAGTTTGCGAATTTATATAATTATTAAAAGATATTAGAAGCTGCAAGATAGAATTGAACCTCATAAACAAAATTATGCGAAGCTCGGTAAAAATTTAAGCGAGCGTCTATGAATTTTATATTAGCGGCGTAAACGTATGAAAGTTTTTCTTAAAAAAATATAAAGGAAAAACGGCGTTCCTCTGCTCGTGCCAAAAAACTTAGCTAAGAAAAAGATTTTTTAACAGGCTGCTGGAATTCAAAGGACATAATATATTTTTGCAAACCGCGGTCCGGATTATCGCGTGTCATTCGGAGGATGAGAGATTTCGCCTTGATCAAGCCTTTCACATTATGCGTTCTTGCATTCACGTTTCCCTTTCAAATCATCATCTTTGAATTCGAGCAGTACGAGGCACACACATACACACGTGTTTTGACGCAAGTTTGATGCAAATAACGCAATCTCACCCACATGTGGTTGCGTAATGAAGATTAGATTGTCGCGAATTTGCGAAACCTTAATTAACTCGATCTTTTCGGGCATGTATAGCGCATCATAGGAATCTACTTGTTTAATAATTTTTTTTTCACTTGAATACACTTCTTCCGATAATGAAATACGCAGAGTTTGAAATATTGTGAAATTATTCAAATTAATCATTGACGACTTTTTCTTGCGATGTTTGTATGTTGATTAACATTGTTCACTCTTTTTTCAATGACCGATAAATGTTCTTTAATTCCTGCCTATATTTTTAATATTTAATTTTAAACTGTATTTAAAGGGCTAAGTAACATTAAGGTTTTACGAAAATTTGGAGTTCATTAGTGCACGTAACAATTTAATTGGCTAATATCTAAGCATTAATTTAATAGGAAATTTAACCCTCTGAGGATGGGAGTTGTTTACAAAGATCTTATTTTCAACGGGTTTTCAAGGTTGCTGTATTTGATTCTGGCTTCAGAATTATAAAATTGAACAAATTTAATTAAATTAGAATCATAAAGTTAACAAACGTTTCGACTCCGATCGGGTCATTTTCAATGTTACAAAGGTAAATCATAAATAAAAGTACAACTATACAATGTTAAATAAATGAAAAGACCATAACTATAACAATTCGTTAAATTGCCAGCAAATTCTTGTCTTTATTATATAAAAAATATCCTTAATCTTTTTAATTACAGTTACAACATCTTAAATAAAAATGAATATGATTAAATAATAACATTTCATAAAATCGCAAGCGTAATCTTGTCGTAAGTTGTCCATTTGATATTTTAATCTAAGTTGCGAATTAAATCGTATCTTGTTGGTGAAATATAATTACACAATAATGTGTCAGTGAAATATAAAAAAATCCAATAATGTGTCAGTGAGATGTTCACCGACAAGATACGATTTCATTCGCAACTTAGATTAAAATATCGAATGGACAACTTACGCTTTTTATTTCAAC